TAAGAATATATGCAACGTATGGCACTGTCCAGTCGGGAGTGACGACCAAAACCTCCATGACTAAGTCGACCACGACTGGGATTTCGACTTCAGTCGGATCTGTGGCCCTCTTGGGCTGTGGGGACTCTTCAGTAAAAGGATCCTCCTGAACTAAAGGTGAATGAATATGCTCCAAAAACACATTGCTGGGAATGGCCTCTCTCTTAGAACCTATCTTTGCCAATTCATCTGCGGCTTGATTTTTCAGTCGGGGTATATGGTGAAGCTCCAACCCTTCAAACTTCTTTTCCAACTTTCTTACTGCATTGCAATAACCAGTCATGGCTGGGCTCCTGACATCCCATTCTTTCATCACTTGATTAACCACTAAATCTGAGTCACCGTAGACCATAAGGCGACGGACGCTGAGTGAAATGGCCATACCCAACCCGTACAAAAGTGCTTCATATTCAGCTTCACTGTTGGAAGAATCAAAATGAATTTGGAGAACATAACTAAGCTTGTCTCCACAGGGGGATACCAACACTACCCCAGCACCGGAACCATTCAACATCTTGGACCCATTGAAGAACATGGTCCAATGCTCCGAGTGAACTTGAGTCTGTAGTTTCTGCTCAATCCACTCGGCAAGGAAATCTGCGATTGCATGGGACTTGATAGCTTTCTTTGCCTCAAACTTGATATCCAATGGAAGGAGTTCAATCGCCCATTTTGCCACTCGACCAGTTGCATCTCTGTTGTTCAGAATTTCAGATAATGGTGCGTCGCTAATGACTGTAATGGAGTGATAAGAGAAATAGTGTGCAACCTTCTTCATGGTCATGTAGATTCCATAGACAAGCTTCTGATAATGTGGATATCGCTGCTTGGATGGAGTCAAAACTCTAGAAAGATAATACACTGGGCGCTGGACTTTGTATGCCTTTCCTTCTTCTTCCCGCTGGACCGTGAGTACTGTACTGACAACTTGTCCAGTGGCTGCAATATAAAGCAGTAAAGGCTCTTTGCTGATTGGCCCAGCAAGCACCGGCTGGGTGGAAAGCAGGGTTTTGAGCTCTACAAACGTTGCGTCAGCTTCGTCAGTCCACTCGAATTTATCAGATTTCTTCATCAATCGGTAAAGAGGCAAGGCCTTTTCACTGAGACGAGAAATGAATCGGCTCAAGGCGGCCAAACAACCAGTAAGCTTCTAAATGTCATGCACACGCACATGGCGTTTCATTCGGAGGATGGTATCAACATTTTCTGGATTTGCGTCGATCCCCTGTTCGGAAACAAGGAAACCGAGTAACTTTCCACCTGGAACTCCGAATGTGCACTTTGACAGATTAAGCTTGATATCATACCTTCTTAGGTTGGCAAAGGTTTCTGCGAGGTCAGTCAATAGGTCGGAACCTTTACGTGACTTGACCATAATGTCATCCACGTATGCTTCCACATTCCGACTGATTTGAGTGAGCATGCACTTCTGAATGTCCTCATGAAAGTGGCTCCGGCATTTTTAAGACCAAATGGCATGGAGACATAGCAAAAGCACCCGAATGGGGTGATGAAAGCTGTTTTTATTTCATCGGGACCATACAGTCAGATCTGATGATACCCGGAATATGCATCTAAAAAAGACAAGCGCTCACACCCCGTAGTAGAGTCAACAATCTGATCGATGCGGGGGAGGGAAAATGAATTTCGGGCAGGCCCGATTGATATGCTTGAAATCGATGCACATACGAAGTGAATCGTCCTTTTTAGGGACCATGACCACATTGGCAAGCCACTCGGAGTGGTAGATCTCTCGGATGAACTCTCCTGCTAGGAGCCGAGCCACTTCCTCGCCAATTGCATTTCTCTTCTCCACGGCGGACCACCGAAGATGCTCTTTGACGGGTTTTACCTTGGGATCAACACGCAAACGGTGCTCAGCCAGTCCTCTGGGTACACCCGGCATGTCAGAAGGTTTCCATGGAAAGATGTTCCAGTTCTCACGGAGGAACTGGATGAGCGCTTCTTCCTATTTGCTGTCGAGTGTCGTTGAGATATGAGTCAGTGCAGCATTGGGATCAGTCGGGTGGATATGAATCGGCTTCGTCTATACAGATGACTAGAACGCAGAATCCGTGGCAAGCTTCTTAGCTCGGAGCAAATCACTCAGATCCGCATTCTTTTGATACTCTTGAAATTCAACTGCTGCCATTTGCGCATCGGCAATTTTGGAGCCCTTCTGGAAGCATTCTTCTGCCTTCTGCCGATTACCAGTCATTGTGATCACTCCTTTGGGACCGGGCATCTTCAGCTTGAGGTACACGCAACATGGTCGAGCCATAAAACGCGCATAGGCTGGCCTACCCAGAATAGCATGATAAGCGCTCTGGAAATCCACTACTTCAAATGTCAACTTTTCCTTACGGTAATTCTTGGAATCACCGAAAACCACGTCAAGGGAAATCTGGCCGAGTGATTCGGCTTTCTTTCCAGGGATAACACCATGAAAGCTCATATTGCTCTCGCTAAGTTTACACATCGGAATGCCCATCCCCTTCAAGGTTTCAGCATAAAGGATATTCAGGCCGCTACTACCATCCATCAGCACTTTGGTCAGTCGAGTGCCTTCGACCACTGGGTCGACCACCAACACTTGCCTCCCCGGAGTGGCTATATGCACCGGGTGATCAGACTGGTCGAATGTGATGGCTGTTTGTGACCATTTTAGGTATGTGGTTGTCGTCGCTGGAGCGATCATATTCACTTCTCTGTTGATAACTTTCAACCGACTCTTTCTCTCGACATCAGGAAAAATCGTCAGGGTGGAATTGACTTTGGGATAACCGTCATCTTCCTCTTCGTCCTCGTCTTTGTCTGACTATTTCTCCTTCTCGCTGGGATGTTTCTCTCGGAACTGCTGGATTAGGAGTCGACATTGTCGAGTGCTGTGCTTAGGGTAAATCAGATTACCCTCTTCATCTTTCTTCGTATGGATGTGACATGGTAAATCCAACACATCATTTCCTGCTTGATCCTTTACCTTCTTAGGTGTCCAGGGCCCCTTAGGTTTTCCTTTAAACTTTCCTAGAACCACTGCTGCAATCTCATCGGGTGCCACAGGCTCGGCACTATGTTTCTGTTTCCGATTGGAATTACCGCCACCGGCATCTTGGCCGACTGGTTTACCCTTTCCGCTGCGGAGTCGATCTTCTTGTTCTCCGGTAGCATACCGGGTGGCTATTTCCATCAGCCGAGTCAGAGTCATATCTCCAGTCCGTATTTCATGCCTTCCTTGAAGGCACACAATTTTTGATGCTCTGATACATTTTCCATGGTGTGATGCAAAGTGGTCCACCTCTGAATGAAATCCCTTAGAGTCTCACTCAGTTTCTGCACACAAGGCTGCAATTCTGTCAACCCTGCTGGCTGCTTGCAAGTGCCCTCAATAGTTCTGACGAACACTCGAGCAAGCTCTTCCCAACTGTATATACTACCTGGGGCTAACTGAGTCACTCGGTAATCCTCAAGCCAAGTTTCAGGCTTGGACTCTCCAGTGAACTTGCTGACTCCAGTCGCCAACCTAAAGTTGGGAGGAATCACTGGAACCCTGATGGCTCTGCTGAAACACTCTGGGCCCGAAACATGAACTCTGCTACCAGTCGGACGATCTCTGCCAGGGTCTTCTCTATGTGCTATGTTCTAGTCGACTAGACCTTGAACGAGGATAGATCTTGCATCAAAACCTGGCTCTCTTGGGTCGACTGGTGCTCTGCGCTCACCACTGTGACGACGTATGTCATCATACTGCCGAGGCACATATGATGCACTCCTCGGAGGAGGTGTGGGCACTCGACGACGATTGTCATGGTCGAGTCGGTGATCATACTGCCCACGGCCTTCATGCCGCAGGGGCGATCTTGGGCTGTGGGCCAACTGAACTGTATCCGCTACCATAGATCTGCTATGAATCCTATTCCACGACTAAGACGTTGTTGTGTTCTGTTCTCCTGGTGCCCGGAGTAAGGCCCGGATCTGCATCAATCCTCTGCTAGCCTCCGACTGGGAAGGTTGAATTGACTCTGCTATCTGGGCTGCGGCTGTGAGATTTTGAATCGGAGTGCGGTATACCTTAGATGGAGGTGGGAAAAGCTGTCGTCGACTAGACTCAGGGATCCGCTCTCGAGCACGCTCGTCGAGAGCGTGCTAGAGGTTCTCCAGTCGAGTGTTCTCAGCCAAATTAGCCAAGCGCACCTCTTCCAAGGCCCGAGCCTCGGGGGTTTCTCCAATGATGGGTGTGTGGAGTGCATCCATGTTGCGGCGACGAAGTTCTTCCCTCTGTTGAGAAGCGAGGGGTTCGGGATGGTACTCCTTGTGGACGCGCGACGGATCGCCACCACCATCCCCGTCGTCTTCACGGTGGAAACCACGCGGACTACATGGTCCATCGACCATCAAGACTTCAGCCGCAGGGTCACTGCTATCGCACTCGGATGTGGTCTTGACGGAGCCAGTCGACAGATCGAACATGCCGTAGAGATTTTCGTCGGGCTCGATTGCCGCGACTTGATGGGTGGCCGAATGTCGAGCCACCGCGTGTTTCACCCACCGCTGAAGCCGCGACCGACCGGATCACTTCCGGCGGCGAACAGCGGGGAGAGAAGACACAATCGGAGCCAACCGATATTGGGTCGACGGCTGCCGGAGAAGGACGCCACGAACACACGCGCGAAAGTGTGTCGCCCCTCGGGCAGGGAGCACCTCAACGTCAAGGGGAGCTTCCTGAAGCCAAGCAGAGTCATCGGCGATGAAAACGAGCGCGCCGAGACGGATCTCGCGGCCCTCAGCCAATCCACCGCCGGAAACCATGATGATGGGGATCGTAAAAAATCGCAACTTCACCAACAAGTCGCTAAGACACCTGCCCCAAGGTGGGCGCCAACTGTCGTGGTTCTAAGACTAACAGTAGAAAGGGGGGTAGGTATGGAGAGGCAAGATCCCAGCTATGGTGAAGGTGTACACACAGGATTTACGAGTTCATGCCCTTCACGGAGGAAGTAATAGCCCTATGTCTCGGTGTCCGGAGGTGGTTGACTGGATTATATGTGTGTGATGTTACAGGTGGTGCGAACCCTTGTGTCAGAGGAGGGGAGTGGCTTATATAGAGTGCGCCAGGACCCCAGCCGTCCTCCATTACAAGGGACTTAATGTACATAAAGTAGGGGCGTTACTGATAACGCCAGCCTTAAGTGTTATTAATGATCTTAAAGACTACGGAGTGAATGTCTGACCGTTGCTGTGTTTTGTGACTCCTGGCCTTCAGTAGGTCGAGTGATTCCTCGTATGGTCGAGTGACAATAGGCAGGGGGAAGCCCGAGTGATATGACTGGTCGAGTGGATTGCACTCGACATCTTTGACTGGGGGTTCTTCGTTGACTCTTGAACTTCTTATTTTCTAGGGTAGTGACCTTGGGTAGGGCATATAGGTCAGGCCTATGACCCTACCCCAGGTCTGTATCCTCATCAGCTACGGCGCACCTGCCTGTACCCGTGGCACAACGAGAGACGGCCGGACCTACTTGCAATCAACCTCGCAAGCGGCGGTGGCGGTCGGGTCTTGCCGGAGAGGAAGAAGGCGACAGTGAGGGGCTGTTCTAGGGGCTTTGCGGCTTCGGGACAGCACCAAAGGGGCTCCAGGGACGCGCCTAAGTGGTTGGTTGGGCTCCAGGAGGTCGGGGACGGGGTGGGTGAGCTACGGGTGTCGCCGGCGAGCTCAGGTCGGGCACGGCGGCCAGAGGCCTGCCCGGCCGGGCTGTGTGTGTGTGGAGGTTGGATGGTGTTGTGGGTTGCTCTGGAACAGAGGGGAGGGCTCAATTTATAGACGGAGGGGAAAAGGGGGTACGTGTCGCCGCCGGAGTTCTCTGGAAGACGACGAGAGGCGACGAGGTGCGTCAGTGAGGGCGCGAGAAGCTCAGTGATCACGCGGAGGCTGTCCACGCTCGCGGACGAGCACAGGGAGGAGGGGGAGAAGAAGACAGGGGCACGGGTGCACTGTGGCTTTTGGCCGCGACAGGCCCGTGCTCACTGTGGCGTCTTTAGCGTCGGCGAGCGCTAGGGAGAGGTCAAGGGTGATAAGACGAAGGGGATGGCGCGGTGCGGCAGTCGTCGGCGAGCTCTGGCTTGGGCACACGCCAAACAGAGGCACTAGCGCGACGCAGAGCGCGTCGAACGCATGCCAGGCCCCGTGTTCACATGTGGTCACCGCCCTAGCATTGCCAAAACGACGCCCAAACGCTGCCAAACCTTGTATGGGCTATAGTCCATCCAATTTTAGGTCTAAGAAAGGTGAAAACTCAAACCCAGGCTGACCAGAAGTGGCTCAAGCTTGCTGGCAAGTTTCCGGACAGAAACTTGGTCGCCAAGTTTGGCTAGCTTCTAGAAGGCCATTAGGGCTGATCTCCTGGGGTTAAGGGTTTCTTAGGAGGGTGTTTAAGCTAAAGAAAGATCAGCTCCAAAAGATTAAGGAAAAATGCACGTGCTGTACAAAGTGCATATTTGGGCCAGAAAGGAAAAGATTTTCTGTAGCAAAAATATTACAAAAAGTAATGAAATACTTTTACTCAGGGAGGTGGGCCAAGGTTCCAAGAAAATTTAGGAATTATCTCAGGATTTTTGGAGCTATAAAAATTAGGGTTGCTTTGGAGCCCTAATTTCTAGAATGAGGTTTCATAAAGAAAATGAATATTTTCACTTATGAAAAATAATCAATGGGCCATTCTAGGGTTTTAGAAAGAAATGGAGTTGGATGAGATGCAGATGGGTCACTTGGATGAAAGTCAAGGGCATGCCCAAGTGACAAGTCCATTTGAATTGATTCTAAAAACTCAAAACCAAGGCAAATGCAAACCAAGTCCGAAAAAAGAGAGAAGGCAAAAACGAGGCTGTCACAAACTATGAGGCAGCTGCAGTTCAAATTTGACTTGCTTCCTACTGAATCAGCGGAAAATTTTCTTTTTCACGAGAGGTGGATAAAAGCTTTTGACACCCAACCATTTGGTCAATTGTGCATTAAATATGGCCTGGTATTTTATAAAATTGATTTGATCCAATTTTGCAACAATTATTTTGTAGGTTCTTCACAAAAAACTCATTTTGGGTGCTCGAAAAATGGAAAATGATTTTTTCATCCAAAGAAAATGAAAACTTCCTTAGGCAACATTGTTTGCCATTCCAATATGCACCCTTGTGCACAATATGAGATCATTTGAACAAACTATGCCATGAATGTGGCCATAAGATTGATCATTTGGCTTGAAAGCCATTGATGTCCACACATGATAGCTCGTTTATGAGAATACATTTTAAAAATAATTGTTGTATTACAAGTTTATTATTTTTCTTGGGAACTTGATCACATATAATGGCACAATGTGGTGGTTTCCCAATTTTTTGATTTTTTTGAATTTTTCATGCCCTTTTCAAAATGCGGTCAAAACGACAGGCATGACCGTTCCTAGCTAGTGGTTGAATCTTGGAAAACTTTTGGTGTTTCTCTGATTAAATAGAAACTTTTGTACCTAAAAATGATTTTTGGGAAAAATAAATAGCAAACTATGAGGCAGCTGCAGTTCAAATTTGACCCGCTTCCTACTGAATCGACGAAAATTTGTCTTTTTCACGGGAGGTGGATCCAAAACATTTTACCCCCAACAATTTAGTCAATTGTGCATTAAATATGGCCTAATATTTTATAAAAATGATTTGGTCCAATTTTGCAGCAAATATTTGGTAGGCCCTTCACAAGAAAACTCATTTTGTGCACTTGAAAAATGAAAAATTGGGTTTTCGCGAAAATAAAGTGAAAATCCCTTTGACAACATTATTTGTAATTCCAAGATGAAAACTTGTGTGAAATGTGAAATCATTTGAATAAACTATGTGGTAGCTGTAGTCAAAATTTGACCCGCTTCCTAGTGAATCGACGAAAATCCCACCTAGTATGAAACTACCTCTGCCTTGTCTTCTCTGCCTCCCTCTGATTTGAACAAACTGTGAGGCAGTTGTAGTCAAAACTATGAGGCATGAATCCCTCCCCTGTCTTCTCTGCCTCACTCTGATTCCTCCTTGGTTTGTTTTATGTCCGATCTGTAGAGGTTGCCACTGCTGCTGACGGTGGTGGAGGCGGTGGTCGCCGATGCGGTGTTGTCGCTGCCCAACGCCGGCGGCGGGCGACGAACTGCTGGGCCGCCATACGCAACACCTTCTTCTTCACCAAGGTCAGCCCTGCCCTGCCCAGATCAAATCAAACCTAATCCCTGATGCCCTCTCGTGATCTCGTTTTGATCCCCCTGATGCGGTGCGTGCGTGCAGGAAGTGTTCGAGAGCCACCGCGTCATCTTCACTGTCAGCACCTCCATCGCCTCCGTCCTCACGACGTGGTCCCAGTAGTGTATAATAAGTAAGCTTTTAAAAGTATGGTTGATCGACTGGACCATATTCCATGTCTACTTTTGGTACCGTTTCACCCCTGATTTTAACATTGGCCGGACCTCTGAAATGTGAATATATGTTTGCTCTGTTTCGTGCTGGCAACTCCACAGCAGCTACGGAGCAATGGACGACGGCTACATGTAATGTAAAGAAGATAGGATTTTGTACTGTCAAAAATACAATGTCTGCCTAGTTAAAAAGGTGTTCACCAAAATCCCACAAATAATCTCGACACTTGCGGCAGAGAAGCATATAGTAGTACATGTTTTCTAGAGTTGTCCGTAACTGAACCGGTCCGACTAAATAGATCATATTCAGTGTTTCTTTTGTGTGTTTTCTACACACACACATGGTCCTTCCTTTTAAATCGCCTCTGCTGCTTACTGACATAGTACTACACGCATACAGTAGTTTAGTAGTAGTGTGTAGGGACTTTGGAGAAAAGTTTACGTACTTAAACATTATGCTTAAAAATATAAGTTGTAGTTCCCTTGTAGTAGTATGTTTATGAATGGCTGCATGAAATGATTGTCCAGTACTTAAAATATTTGAATCGGGGTTAATATAATCACTTGCTGCATCCTTTTTGATTGACCGGAGATGCTAATAGGAAAGGAAAGCAAATAGGAAAAGCATGTGCTGCAGCTTTTGCTTTTCCTCCGCACACTAGTAAAGCAAAGCATCCTATTTTGATATCTTCATTCATGATGCATAAAATTCTGGTATTGTTAGTTATGGGTTATTTGATTATGTTCATATAGCTAATCTACTGTTGTTGTGCATAAAATTCTAGAAAGGTCTGGCTGCAAGTTCTGGCTGTAGTGTGCTCTCATATTGTACATGCCCCTATGTTTAGTAAGATTAAATTGCTACTATTAATGATGAATGTTTGAGTTTTGAAATTTGAAGCATCACCTACTTCCTGGTCCTGTAGTGTTTAAAACTGATAATTATGATGCATTGGTCCATATGGCCTTGTTTTTTAATGCCATACACATTCTAGTTCCAGATCCAGGACCTGATCTTAGCATTCAAGCATACCTGGCAATGGTCCGATCCTAGCTATAAAATGTAGGGGACAATAATTTGCAGCATTAATTAGGTCCTGCTATAGTCTTTTTTAAACTTCTGATGAGATTGAAGCATTCATTCTGATTTCTAGTTTGCTGGTTTGCTGATTGTTCTAGACAAATGTATGAACTTCTTAATTGTGGACGACAACTACTTCCTTGAGAAGGACCAGCATCACCCATCAAGTATTCCATTGAGGTAATTCACCACTCCCTCCAGCACCAACTATGTATTTTCTCTAGTTGCTCTCCCAAGTTTTGTGCACACTGTGTGTCAAGTTCTCCCTAAATGCAAGGGATTGTATATGTAAAACCAATTATCCAATACATTCTTCACAAAGAGATTAGTCTTCTTATTTAGCCCTGATGTTTTAATTTACGGAGTTGTTGCTTCTTTGGTCGGATTTATTTCCTTGCTGTAGGCATAAGAATAAGCTGATATGAACATAATAATGATACTCTGCATGCTATGAGTAAAGTGCTCTA